AAACTAGTTAAAAGGTCTATCGAGAGAGAGAGAGGCTGGTCAGATTTGACATGGCAACCCACTAGTGCAGTCAGAATCTCTGGCTGCTGTGACTTGTGATGTGAATTTCTCCGGCCGATACTTGTAAATAAACATACCAGTGTTTGACATCAAAGCTCCAACTCTCCTCGTGTCTCTCTGAGTCCTGACTCTCCATTGCTGCAGAAGTTTCCCTTACAAAAAGTAGTCAAAGTTACAGAAGAAACAAGTCTGTGTTAGTTTAAATAGGAAAAGATCAAGTGGAAGTGTAGACTCCACTGATGTTAAGTGTCTTCGTTAAGCGTAGGTCAGTATGAAGAGAGCAGATAGGTCATGATCCCACAGAGTGAAGCAAGCAGGTGGGTGATGGTACAAGTGTTTAGTTCATATAAAAACAAGTCCTGGGGCCTCATGTATAACGGCGTGCGTAGGATTGACGTGGGAAGGTTGCTTACGTAGTAGAGATCCGAAAAATAGGTCCATACATTTTTCGCCACTTTCCGATTCACCAAACATTGCGTAACGGCGAGGAAAGTGCGTATGGCACTTCCTACGCCGGTTTCCCTTTATAAATCACAACCGACTCGAAATGCGGTGCAGCTTTTGCGGGCTTCACGTAACGCCCATATNACAACAATCTACTCAATTATTACATTCAAATGATGTACATTATTCAAGTTTACATTCACTTTGGATAATAACACAGGAGAAATGAGCGGAAGCTCTCTCCCTCTCTCTCTCCCCCTCTCTCTCTCTCTCTCTCCCTCTCTCTCTCTCTCTCTCTCTCTCCTGACAGCCTGTCAATATCTCATGCAGCTCACTGATCCAGTAATGAGTGACCCGACAGTGAAGAATAAATATATTTATAACTAGTTGAGCTTGTTCCAGAGGCTAAGTGTGTTAGGTCTAACTCTTGTGTGTTTCGCTCCGCTCACCGGTCCGGCGGGCGGAGCTGCAGGATTTCTGCTTCACACACGTTGCATACCGCTATTTTACTGTCTTTTTCGGACACCTTAAAATAATGCCAGACCAGTGAAGTCATTTTGGCGAGCTTGTTTTGCCGCGCACAGAGAAAAGTGTCATGTATGTTACGTCATGCGATCGGCTCTCGCGATCGGCATGTTTAGAGAGCACCGATTGATCGGTAGAGAGTGAGTATCGGCCGATATCGATCATTGGCCGATCGATTAGAGCATCCCTAGTTTATAGATATCTGAGTAGGTGAATGCTCGCATAGCATGGTTGAGGCTAGTACCCATAGAGTCCAGTAAAGGGCGGAGCCTGTGTAAGATATAAGCAACCAAGGTAACCCCCCCCCCACCTCATCACCTGCATCTCCTCCTAGAGCACCATTGAGTTATTTCTAACCAAATATGTCTCAGAGGGGCGTGGGGAGTGACTCCTTATTTTCATCTAAAGTAACAGACAGAGAATCAGCACAGGGCTGAAACAGAGGGGATTATGGGATGCTGCAATGATCTGTTTGGTATTTCAAGCCAAACACTTCAGAGACATGTTTTGTATATATCTGAGACCTATATATATTGATGAAAAACAGTATAATCGGGGACCTTTTAGATACGTGTATGCTTTGTTAATTCGGATAATCTTCACATATTACCAGCGCTTTATGATTCTTAAAACGTAAATTTGCAATCCCACGAAGTAAAAAACTAACGTTAGCCACAGCTAAGTTCAACGTTGACTCATGGTTGGTGTCATGATGTTTAGTATTCTCCTTTATTCAGTTGTTAGCAACCACTGTTTATATGACACATTGAAGCTTCAGACATTGACCAGTGGGGTATTTACTGACATATTTGAGTCATAGAACAAAGACGCAGACACTTTTTCTGTGTAAATCCACCACACCCAGTGTGCTCTCAGGTTTCAAGAGCCTCCTCCTACTGAATGTTAATCACAGAAAGGGTCAGCCGAGGTCAGGCCTGTCAGTGTGGCTCCCAGGAGAAGCTCTGAAGACCAAAAATCCAAACTATTGAGAATTATGCTGGGGCTGAGACCAATTTGAGAATAACTGTAGCACAGGAAACTAATCAGCCAAGTGCATTAGGAGGAGTTTGTGCTTTCTCAGAGCTTGGTTAAAGTGCTTCACATCAAGAGCTATGCCTGACATTAAAGAGCAACTTACCTCACTATAGATACATTTAAAGCAGTGAACGCAATTTGTGGGGGATAGGGGGGATTTGGGTGTGTATTACACCCCGTCCACACAGCAGCTTTAAAAAAATCTTCCAACGCTTCCAACGCTTCTCTGCCCATTGACTTTGAATGGGGGTGACGTCACTTTGCCTCGCTTTTTGCCGAACTGCATTGTGGGGAAGCAAAGCGAAGATTTCCAGGATTTTCAGGATTTTCAGGATTCAAAAGTTGAGCAATGTTCAACTTTGAAGCTGAGCTGGAAGCGTCAGCCAATCAAATCCCGTTTATTGCAAATCTGACAAGTACAACGCTAGCCCAGATCAACCGCGGCAGCTGGGAGAGCCAGCACCGCAATTCATTTCCTCATATTCCAAACGAGAAATTACGGTAGCAATCACCCGTTCTTTAAGACCAGAACTATTTACCGGGATACAAACCGGTTAGGGTTTGGGTTTAAACCCTAGGGTTTTTCTAAATCATAAAAGCATACTTCATTATATATTAGGAGTCATAACGTTACTTTGTTGAGAATGTTGGACATGTAATAATGTGGGTAATGTGCAGCGACTTGGTCCATTATGGGTTAATTAGGTGTTCTTTCCCCATAATGACCTGACATTATCCCACTTATTACATGGCCACATTCTCAACAAAGTAACGTTATGAGTCTCCCAATATTAATTGAAATGCTTTTATGGATTTAAGAAATGATTTTATTGATTAAAAAATAAGTTGTATGTATTAGAGTTAAGATAGACATTGCATCCGCTAAGAAAAATAGTCCGTTGTTACTGTTTGAACTAACGTAGCAACGGCAGGAACTGCTTCGATAGCTGTTTTGAGGAGCTTTTTTGATTACAAGATTGAAACATTGCTCCTTGCTTTAAGTCTGAAAAGCAACTGCATGCAGTTTGCTTTTTCGGCCAAACTGTATACAGTTAAATCGACGGTACTTGTTTTGTCAGAGTGAGCAGTCCTTAAACAACGGTCAATAAGTGCTGACAGCGGTCTGTCTGTTCGTATTAACAACGTGTCACGTGTTCTGATTGACCAATCAGAATCGAATGTATTCAACTAAGTCCATGTAAATAATATTACAATGGCTTAGTTGAATACTCGATTCTGATTCTGATCTGATTTCTAACTACAAACAAGAGCGACAAAGGAGAAACAGCGGAGAAGTAAATCGGGCAGAATCCTCCTTTTTACGCAGCGGTCCAGACAACGACCATCAAACGGCGACACATATTCAGTTGGGCCAGTTTACTTTGGCATTAGGGCAGGGGATATCTAGATAACTTTCCAAGGTTGACAAATGAATTGTGCTACTTTTAAAGCAGGAGCAATGTTTTCAAATCTGTTAACAAAAAGCTCCTCAAAAAAGCATCGAAAGNAATAGAGCGGCATGTTTAGGAGAATGTGTTTGGTTGGTTGTAAGAGGGACGAGGTGCGTCACGTGTTAATGTATCATTGGTGCTCAAGTTGACTGCCTGAACTAGCTCGCAGGCTTCGCCCCATTTCTGCCGATGACTGACAAATGATAAGACTCAGCGCAGGCCGCAGTCAGTTAGCCAGGCGTAAAATTGGAAAATTTAAGCTACAGTGAGTCATTAGCTAAGTCAAATACGAAACACAAAGCTCTGTCTCCCCGGAGAATTCTTTCTGAAGTCTAATCTCTCGTTCAAAGAAAATGATTTCACTTCAGTGGATTCTCCAAAATGTGCTAATCTTATCATATTTCATGCTAGCAGATAAAACTGACCATCTTCAGCACTTGTGCACTTTAGCGTAAAGATATCTTCATTTTTCATTATCAGCACCCCCCCAAAAGTATTTTCCAATCAACTTATCCATTTCATAGCCACACCTCAGCCCTCTCCATCTTGCCTCTCCTCCCCTCTTTCTTGAGCTTCAAACTCTGTAACTAATTGGATCTGGCACAGTCTGTAATGACTTTGCGCTCTATGGGGAGCTTTAGGAAAAATCACCCTTCATTTCTTCTGGCATCACTCAAGTGACCACATACTGAACTCCAGTGACATATAGCTCCGCCTGCATCTAAAGGGCAAAGACAGCAACATTCACAGGATACTGCTGATCTCAGGTCTGAGGAAGTCGTATGGACGAGTCTCTCAGAGTGCACTTTCTGTCATTGCATGTGAGCACACAGCACATTTATCTTTGGGTCTGTTTGTATAACACAATCATAGTAGCATGGTCTCACTCAATTTATTAAACCGTAGGCCTTTGTGGAGCAAGCGATTTTTGGTCAGTGGATGAAAACACACACAAGACATATTTTCTCCATCAAGCAGTTGGTACAAAGACGGACCAAACATGAACATATACAATATCAAAAACACTATCTAGTCTGCTTAAAGTATATCTCTCCGTTTTTTCAATTAAAAGAAAAGGGTGAAACATTAGGCCGGAGTGATATTTGCATATATAGATTCACCAGTTTTTGGTTCAGCTACATATCTGATATTTTTTTTAGTAACAATATAAGCAGCGGTCTTACCTTAGAAGATAAAAAGCACCCGCACAGAGGAACTTGTGACTCACCACACCTTTCCCATCATGTCTGTAGCCTCCAGTCAAGCTGTTCCAGTCTCAATTGAACATGGCTTGGCATTAAGTAACTGTGTGGGCTTAGAAAAATCAAGTCCATAGGCCAGGGAAAAATTTGTCTGCCACTATCAATTATACCTAAATTGAATTATTTTGTCACGAAAGCCTGTTTCCACCTCAGCATGTGAACTGTATTAAATTACCCATGCTTCCTCTAAACACCATGGTGTACAGATTAAGGTGATTTCCTCCTACCTCTTTTTCTCTGATTCATATCTGCTGAGGAGACGCTGCAGACCGCCACACTTGAACCCCTGGAAATGGGCTGCAGGGGCACCCACGGTGACAATGTCATAAAAAGCATCTGTAAAGAAAGAAAATAAGGTTAATTGAATTTACAAGAGTGAGAGGAAACATGGGCAGTAAATTACCTTGAGGTGAGAAAAAACGACATTTGAAAAATCAATCACCATCAAAGGGTGTGTTTTAATAAAATATATACTTCACCTTAACTTTAAGTTTGAATTCTGCTAAAACTTCTCTACAAAGCAATACCTTTAATAAGTCAAGTGAAGTTATTCATTATTAGTGAAGTTGGTTATTCAGCAGTAAAAATAGAAATAACACAAGGTCCAAAACACACACAAGGCAATTAAATACACATAGAATAAAAGACAAAGCCTAGTTACCTTACATTTTTTTATTTAAAAGCAATATTTATTTAACAAGGTTGGATGGTATTGCTTATAGTTTATGTTGCTGTTAGAGTTTAGCGGTGAAATGTCTGGGGGTATAACAGAGTGTTTGTTTCTTTAGGTCTGGGAACCAGAACGTCTTAAAGAGGCCCTATGATGCTTGTTTAGGGGTTCCCTTTCCTGTTATATAGGTTTATGAGCACGTTAATCTGAAATCAATTTAATGATCTGCAAATGTCTTTCCCTATAGTGTGTTATTTCGTTTGTTGTGAATGTAAATGGTCTGCAAAGAATAAAATCCCCAAAATCCCTCTCCCACACACTCCCCCCCTGCCTTCATTGGACTTTCTTCACTATGCAACACTTGCGCTTCTATTGGCTAGCGCTCCAACACATTGTACGTGATAGCCAATCAGAGCAGACTTGGCTCTGGTGTCAGACAGAAGCTGAATAGCAAGGACACATTTGAGAAAAAAATAAGATTTCCGAGGCGTTCTTTATGTCTTGATGTAGCTCTGGTCCCACGTTGAACCCATGGTTGAACCATAAGCACGAGCAATGTCACAGCACTTCATTTGAATTAGCACACAGCCGTCACAAAGTAAATAAACACTTGACAGACTGCTTTTCTGTAGTGTGTTATATAGGTTTGTAAATGGTCTGCAAAGGCTAAAATCCCCAAACTCTCTCCAGAGGGAGTTTCTCTCCCACACACTCCCCCCTGCCTGAAATGCCTTCATTGGTCTTTCTTCCGTAACATAGTGACATCACTATGTAACACTTGCGCTTCTATTGGCTAGCGCTCCAACACATTGTATGTGATAGCCAATCAGAGCAGACTTGGCTCTGGTCTTAAAGAATAAAGCATAAATATGTCGCAAAATACAAATATGAACCTGAAAATGAGCATATTAAGGCCCCTTTAATCTCTGAGTGCAGACAGACACTTCTGTTGAGTAATTTTGATACTGCTACAGACCGTGATCTCCTTTGTTTATCTATTGTTTGGTTTGAGATTGAGAAAAGCATACAACAAAACAAAGTCATCAGAGACCTGTCAAGACGTGTTTTATCAACAGTTAGTGACATTATGTGAGGATAGTGTCAGTATTCATAAATATGCCATGCAGCAGTTCCGGGCTTTATGCAGCTTTAAACTTGAAATGGTAAAGTTGCTTGGTCTAGTTTCATTCGTAAGCTACACATTACTTATGAAGCCAACAGATACATGATGTTTACGCACAAATAACAAGCATGACATTAATCTGCTTTCACCACCAGTAAAGTTTCTTTTAGATATTCACTTTTTAAGTTAAATATGACTGTCTGTATGGCTCTATAACTACAGTTCTATACTATATTTCTGAGGCGTTCTTTATGTCTTGATGTAGCGTTGGTCCCACGTTGAACCATAAGGACGAGCAATGTCACAGCGCTTCATTTTAATTTGCACACAGCCGTCACAAAGTAAATAAACACTTCACAGACTGCAAGGCGGACACAGAGGTGCTTACAATAGGCCTTGTTTTGAATGAGTAATAGATGAAGCTGACAATTAACTCAGAAACAAAAATGAGTAGGGAGGGGAGGGGGGNTCCAAACGAGATATTACGGTAGCAAATCACCCGGTTCTTTACGACCGGAACTATTTACCGGGATACAATCCGGAGGAACCAGGCATGGAGGGAGGTGGCAGAGACAGTGGGTGAAACTGATAGTTTTTTCGCCTGTTTGGAGAGTTTATATCCCGTTTACTTCGTTTTAACATTGCTATTGCTTTGTATGTCGGGGGCGGGAGATTCATGTGATTGGTTGCTCGCAAAAAATCGCCAAGCTTCAGACACGTCCAGCTTCAAGATTTTTTCATGCCTGTAGTGTAGACGGGCCGTTAGGGCTTCTCGGCAACTCTGCAGAATCCTATGGGTGACGTCACGGACCCTACGTCCATTTATATATACAGTCTATGAGTCCGACTGACAGTTTAAACATTGTCACAGCTCAATGGACAGGTAGGCCTACCTGTCAGCCAATAAGACAGATGTTTATTTCCATTGAACTCTCTGGTTGGTCTGGTGTCTTGCCTCTGTTGCATTCACTGAACACGGGAAATTACAATCCTGCCGTCCTCTTTAGTGTCATGATGAGGTTCAGGTAAAGCACGGTTAATGTATTTTATTATTGACTCAA